TAGAATCTCCACCTTTGGAGGCTGTGGAGGCAGTGTTCTCACAGGAGAATGGATAATTGGTACATAAACTCTGAAAATCCTGAAAGATACAGCAAGGCCATGAGAGGCCCGAGGAAGCCTAAAAAAGCTAAAAAAAGAAGAAGCTGGATTTTACTGAGTTCATGAGAACTGTGGACTGTTGGCAAGCTTTTGAGGTCAAGTTCCCACACCTGTGCTTAACCAATTATATGCTAGTTGCAAAGGGTCTTCAAGACATGTATCCAATCATAATATGCCAAATCACTGTAAGTGCATGTAAGAAACAGTATTTAAGGGGTTAAGGCTTTGTAATAAACGGCTTTTTGTCTGACCATATTGATCTCTGACTGAGTCCATATATATTCTGCGGCAGGAGGCTTTTGAGAGCAAACTATGCAAATAATCTGTTAGACATGATAAATGTTCTGTCTTGAGAAAGGAGATAACCTTACCCTGGGAAAAGGAAAGGAACCAAACAACTTCTAAGGGTCTTTCTGCAGGATTATTTTCTGATTCTTTGCATTTCAGCAGAGATGATTCATGGCCTGAAAAATCTGGCTTATTAATGGAGATCAAAAAAGAAGTTTATGTACTAAGTTTGCAAAAGAGATTAGAAACCCCATGGAGGCAATCTCTTTTAGAATATACCACAAGGGTGACAGTCTCATTTACCTAAGTGACAATTTAACCTATCAAGGCTCCAGGCAAGTGTTTGTGGCAGTAAGCTACACTTAGAAAATTCAAAAAGTAACATGTGATATGTAAACATCAGTCATTAAACAGCCGATGGCATATCCCCACACTAGCACTTGGAGTGGCATTTACTGTTATTGCTTATGAAAAACTGTCCTCAACTAATTGTCTAGGTCCCCTCTATAGTCATTTGGGAGAGAGGTGGCTTTTGGAGGTGATAGAGCTCATCAGTCTTCAACACGTCAACACGCAGTGCCTATTTATGTGTTGACTGGAGAGGGAACCAACAAACACCAAAGATTAAAGCTGAAATGATATAGGACAAATTTCACTCTCAAAGTCTTGTGCTTTCGGAAAAATAGGGTAGAGTTCAACTGCATGGAAAAGTGTTTGTCCTCCTATAACTGTAGGAATTAAAATAAATTCCCTCTGATCTTGGAGAGCTCCACATATCAGTCAGTCTTCTGCAAAATATCAGATTAAATAATTACCATGGTCCCATTCAGACTTCAATTCTATTAATAAAAAATTTGCAGCAACCAGTTAGATCTTATAGTTTCTATAAATGAGAACTAATGCACACATATTAAATATCAGTTATTAAAAAATTTCAAATGTAAGGGCCTACATTGCCAGTAAAATATTTGCATAATCTTAGAATTTGTAATAATAGACATTAGCATATACAAAAGATCGTATATTCAAATTTCATGGGGTTGATTTAGAGAACACATTCTCTAAAAGACTCATTATTCATACTGTCTTCTACAGCTAATAGCGCTGTGCAGGGATACAACATATTATAATTTGCAAGAAGAACTCAGAGTAGCGATAGAACAGGGGCAATGGGTTCAAACTTAAACAGGGGAAGTTCAAGTAAGATATAAGGAAGAGTTCTTTACTGTGAGGGTGGTGAGGTACTGGAACAGGTTGCCCAAAGAAGTGGTAAATGCTCCATCTCCGGCAGTGTTCAAGGCCAGGCTGGACAGAGCCTTGGGTGACATGATCTAGGGTGAGGCATTCCTGCTCAAGGCAGAGGGTTGGAACTAGATGATCTTAAGGTCCTTTCCAACCCAAACCATTCTACGATTCTATTCTATGATTCTATAAAATAATCAAAAGCTAAATTTAAAGAATATAGAGTAGTCATATTAAAAAACAAAATAAAAATCTTTAAATAAGCTCATGAACAGACATCCCAGCTCTTCGTTAAACAAATCATCCAAATTGCATATAGGGAATAGCTGATGTAGTGGTTCTAAATTACAAACACATGATAATTAGCCAAAACATTTGGCAATACTTTGATTTCTTCTGTTTTGCTTGTTTCTTTGCTTGTGGGTATCAACATATATGCTTGTATGCAAATGTTTTTAAAATACTCTTTAGTCATTTGTTTTATGGACCACAATCATAGCACTAGAAGGCAGATAGGAATTAAAAAAAGGCATGAGTCCCATGAAGAAAGCTGTTGAGAAATGGTCTGTCTTAGTGAACTCCAGGACCTTTGGTTCCGTCTTTCTGTAATAATGAGCTACATAAGACTGTTAAGTATAGCCACGGCCTGTAAGCCACCAACAGTAAGGTATCAGTGAATTCTCTCTCATTATTGCTCACAGTAACGTCTCATAAATGAACCAGCTAATGACTTACTGGATTATATCAGCTGAGACTGAAGACATGGTTACCCCTGGAAAGAATCTAGCAGGTATTTGGCTGAAGTTCGTATCATCTGTTGGACTGGCCAGCATGTGTTTGTTGAGAAGACCTCATTCACAGCTCACCATTTTGTAGAGTTTGAATGAAAAAGACTTCATACACTACATCCTCTCAGGGCTAGATGTGCTGTAGTAAACCCATCTGGAGATACCCATTTGTACCTGAGACAAATGCCTTTATAAAAACCCTACTTTAACACTGCCCATATGTTCTAAGCAATACCTCCAAAGTTACAAACACTTTCGGCTCCTCTAAGATGGTATTGCGTGCATTCATCCTGACCCTGAAGATGCAGGTATCTGGAAATAGAGTACAATTCAGTGCAGAATGTGGGCATGTGGCCAGAGTGGAGGAAGCTTCCCAGTGTTTCCCAGCCAGCTAGCCTCAGCTGACATTTCAAGTGCCAGGCCACAACACTGCCTTTCATTCACCCTATGAGAAATAGTTTGCTCAGAGGACATTTTTCTTGCTGCACTGCTTGAGGCCAACATAGGATAGAATCAGCAGAATGCGCTGTCTGTACAGATGGACAGGCATCCTGTCCACCCTGGCACATGGAGAATAACTAGAAACAGCAAGGCACACATCCTAGGGCCTGCCAGGAGGTCAGGAGAGGTTCAGATGGTACAATGCAGAAACAGGACAGATTTAATGTGAATCATGCCTTTATTTCCCTTCATGGTGGGGCACGTGCCTTACTAGAATATGGACTGCTTCCCTTCCAGCAACCAATGCTTCTTAAGACTTGCTGATGAGAGCAAGTTTGTATTGCTTCCGAAGGAATTAGTAAGAGAGACGACAAGGTGGCATATTTATATTATTAACTTATCTCAGCATTCATTTGGCTTCATTTTCCATGGGAGACCTGTTTTACTCAAACATTCAGAGATGAAAATAAAGTGCCCTGGTGGTACTCTTTTGTGTTTTTTTTTTTAAACTGTGGTCTCTCAAGAGAGCTGTACTGCAGACAGAAACCAGCTAGCAAAGGGCAGAGACAGCAATCAAGAGTGATTACACCATACAAAAATGTCAGTGGCATAACATGACTTAATTGTGATTCCACAAATTATAGATGAATGCAGAGGCAGAAAAATCAGAAGCAGAAGACACACTGTACCCTTTATATTCAAATCCCCCAAATTTTACCAAATTCCTCAAACCAATTCCAGCCTTTTACAGAAACTAGCAGCTGCTTTTTTGCACTTCATCCCCTGAGAAATGGGTTTAGGGTAGAAAAGCTGACTGGAGAACTTGAGATTAAATGTATACTCATCTTAAAAGTACGGATAGGTTATATTTACTGAGACTCAGAGAGCAGATTCCTACACCAAATGTGCTGATGGAAACGGGTCAGAAGCTGTGTGTAACAAAGAACATTTCAAAGGACGTTCAGAACATTGAGGTTTAAAGGGCTGGAACAACATGACCTCTAGGACTCTGCTCCTACAGAAAACAGCTATGTATGCAAAGACCTGGAGGAGGAAGAGGGCAACATGGAAGCTTGCTCTCAGTGTTTTATTAGGTGCCTCTTCTTGGTGATTGACTATCAGCATATGCTTGAGCTGAGACCCACCTTGAGTTTCAGTACTAGAAATACAGGGTTTCTTAATCCTGAATGAATTTACCAAAGCTTAGAGAGGGCTGGTGGGTCTCTTCTGCTCCAAAGCAAGCTTTTGTAAGACAGGGTTGACGTTTGCTCTTGAATTAATAAAAAAAGCTATCCAAAGAGAACTTGCCTAGTCTGCCATACATCCAGGACACAGTTTCTGTTCTGACAAAAAGTCTTGGAGGTTCCATCATTTGTTTTTGGTCTGTCTGAGAAGGAGGACTAGACTGTAGTATTTTTTTTCTTATAAAAACAATCAAAATCAGCAAACAGCCCAACTGAAACATTAGTGAAAAGTTTTCAGCTTCTCACTTTGCTTTAACTCTACAGATAGATGTGTTTTGTGTTAGTTCTGTGAGCAAAGCAAGAACATGCCATGCCACCCCACAGCCTGGGGTGGCGTGTTGATGTAGGACATTGCAGTGTACTCCAATAATCAGAGTCAATACAAGTAAATGCTTTCTCCTGCTCAGGTTAGGATTTTGTCTTGCTTCACCCTGGACTTTGGCAGAAGTTCAGATAAATGGAAGTCTTTGCTTCTAAATCCTGCTATTGCCTATCCAAAACAGTTTACTACTGCTTGACAGAGACAAGAGTCAATCCTTTTTTAACATTTTCCCAGGACCCTTCACTGGCATGTTACAAATAATTTACATAAAAGGATGATTCCTCACTATTAAAAGGTAGAAAAACATTGCAATCTTTTGTGTATGGACAGGGAAGGGTTTGGTGTTTCAGGTAATATCAGTAACATCACCTCCAGAGTCTAAACATTAGGTACTAATGCTGCAAGTACCTGCTTCCTATACATCCTCTTATGTAAGCACTGATACACACAGACACGTTGCATTCCTCAGCTTCTCCACATTGCACTGAAATCATCCTAAATACAAAGTAATGTCCTTGCCAGGAAACTCTCCAAGCTCAAGAGCCTGAAGATCTCAGGCAAAGGACAAATGTAAGGAAATTCTGTTCCCTGGAAGATATTTCAGGTTTCTTTCAACTTGGTTTTGTAATGGTAACAATCCTGAAACTGTACTTCTGGAATTCCCTGGAAAATAGAGAAAACAGTTGCCACTCAACAGCAGGGTACACAGAATGTCTAGTAAAATACTTCCAGTCCCTCACAGTCTGTGTAAAAAGCACACAAATCATATGTCCCTCAGCAACTGGTAAGCGACATAACATGAAAAGGTATTGTGGTTACACAGATGAACATGAAGGGCTGTAGTTTCATAAGCAAGCTATTAAAATTGTAAGGTTAATGCATGTCTTTTTATCCTGTCATGCTGTTCTTACACTCAAGGGTTTTGTCAGCTGAGCCTTTTTTTTCCTTTGAATAATCTTACTGAAAATAAGAGATGAAATCTAGGTGCAGACATGTCTGCAGCTTAAGAAAACCTTTGAAGAGGCCACAGAATCATATCTCATTAAGAATGCATGGAGTATCAAGATCAAAAAACCTTGGCCTGCTAAACAAACCCTGCAAACATGGGTGATTCCACCAGACAGGGAACATGTAGTGGCCCATCAGGTTGCTACAGTAAGTGTTGGATTTTTTAGAACTTGACTCCTGTACTTCTTTTCAAAACCAGCATTGCAGATGCATGGCACTGTGAATCTTTCCTGTGATTCAGTCAGCAAATCCTGCAGCTTTTCCTCAGGGGTTCAGAGCTGATTGTAACTTGGCTCTTTCATCTGCAGCAGGGTGTCTGATAGATAAATGGTCTAACTCTCACTTGTACCAAAGAGCTTATGCTGATATAGCCCCTAATATAAGTGTGATGATAAAGGTACTTACAGTGGTACAACATTGTCCTCTTCTAATACAGAAAAAAAGCCTTGATGGTACGGGGGCATTCACACTACAGCCAGTCTAAACTTGGAAGTTTTACTGGCAGAGACACGCTTGTTAAGGGTGTGGGATAAAACTAGCACACACCTCTGACAACTGTGCTGGCAGACACCCCAGAGGTGTCCCTACATAGACAAAATAAGTTTCTGCACGATAACTGTAGCTGTCTCTGTATGTTTTGCCCACATGAGAAGCAAGGTAGTTTGAAGTAGCTTAGCTCTCTTTCACTGAGGTTTATTCAAGGTCTAAAGCCATAGTTGTGCCAGCTTAAAAGTCAGTAAAGCTATTGAATTCCAGGAACTGGTAGAGACATTCACAACAAAACAGCTTTTTTACAAGTTTACATGTCTTTTCCCCAAGGAAGTAAGTACACCACTATAACTACTATAAATAAGGCCTGAAGAGCCTGTGTTATACCTCTTCAACTGTAACAGGAAAGATAAAATAGTCCAGCAGTTGGGGTAGTCTGAGACCACTTTACGCTTATAATAAAGTGATACAGTAAGAGACGCAGTAAGTGATGCACTAGGACAATACATCAAAACAGTTATTAAGCAGATTGCATATATATATTCAGCCATGGTGATTTATAAGCAATAACACTTATTGTAGGAAGGAGTAAAATTGCAGGCTCAGGCAATGTCAGGGAAGCTTGTACAAGCAAGGGGATTCTGAAGAATGGCAAATTTGGACATCCCATTTGACTCAGAAGCTGGAGAGGCTGCAAAAGCCTCTGCTGCCTCATGTACAGTACTCCATCATGTACATTTTTTCTCCCATTGTTCTACAATGCTAAAATTAGCTCAGAGAGTGACTGTGGAAAACATGTTTGGAAATAATGAAATTAGGCTGTACATGGCTTTGATTTTTTAATTTTATGTTGCACTCTCGATTAAACAAAATCAGAAGCCATTTACTTCAGACTTTGATCATTCCACTAGCCATGCTGTATTTCTGAAGCACAGAGGAGAGATAACCTTTTTAGACCAAAGGCAGACAAATAAGATGTCAGTGTGGAATAGCTATAAGACTTACGGTGGTGTTTCATTCAGTACTTCCCTGATGCTTTTTTATAACATAAAGTTGAAGATTGCAAGCTCTCAGCATAACATTATGTTTCCATCCAGATCTCCCTTTGTCCTTCTATTGCCCGCCTTCCACAGCACTCCCAAACACATCACTTTCCTTCTTCCCAGCTCTCTGCCTTCACTGCTGCATGAGTCTCACATGACTCCTTTCTCCTCAACAGACTCACCATTACTACCATAATACTAGAAGGCTGTCAGGGCCACAGGTATAGGAATAGCTCTTAATTAGCCCGATTAAGGCTTTATCCACTTCCTGGCAAATGTGTTCTTCCCTTTATCCACTTCCTAACAAATATGCTCTTCCCTTCCACTCCACCTTTTCAGTTGCTGTAAAAATGTCTTCATCATCAGATCCCTTCTTTTTCCATCTATCTCAGTATCCTCAAATCCAGTGTCTCCTTCTTCCTAATCCCAGAGCAGCCAAAAGTTGAAAAGCCAAGTTTTCCCCAGAAATGAATGCAGCTTAGATTGCCTGGCCATCGCTGGGCTAAAGTTACGACTCTTTTATGGACCTTGGAAGCCCTGCTTGGCAGACACTTACAGGTGCCTTCCCGGCCAATAACAGTTGTGATACCACTTGCTTCTCTTTTTCTCTTTGCAGACCTTATAAAACCTGCAGACAGGAACAGCTTAGATATTCCTACTCACTCGTCCTCACCTACATCGGGATGATAATACAGTGAGCCTGCTTCCTTTCAGCTACCTCCTTCTTTAAATACAGCAGCAATCTATGACAGAATGTTCAGCACTGAAGACAGCTGCGGAGCTAGAAACAGATGAGAAACAGGTATGAGGGGACAGCCATCACAATACATTTAATTCCGAGAATGGGAATCCTGCCTTCCTATAGAAGTGTCTAGACTACATAACAACGTGCTTTACTCTCCAGGAGAACAGAGCAGACTGTAATTTTCTGATAAAAAAACAAACAATAACTGAGAAGTATCTTTTTCAACAAACATTTTCTTTTCTTTTCTTTTTTTTTTTTTTTAATTGGCCAGGTTTAAAGCTTCCAAACTGACACTACCCAAAAAGCTGGAGGGTTAGAAGAGGAGATACTGCTACCAAAATGACCTGCGGTGCTAATAAAGTGGGGAAAGTCCTTACATTGCTCATTTAATTCCCCGCTGCCTCAGTCAGCTCTTTCTTGCTCTCCATAGTGAAAAGAAATGGAATTTATTTAATGCTGTCTGATCAGGACTGCCATAAAAGCTACAGCTGAAGGTTCTAAGGAATATATTGCTAACCATTCTTGGACACCCTATGTATGGCAGTTCTTGGGAACTCATCTACTGTTCACAAGAAAGCATTTGGATGATGGTTTTAGTTACCTGATTTAGTTTTAAGTAGTCCTGCAAGGAGCAGGAAGTTGGACTCGATGATCCTTATGGGTTCCCTCCAACTTGAGGTGTTCTGTGATTCCATTAAATAGAGAAGCCTAGGAGTTAAACACTACATTACAGAAACCACATGGGCTAGAAGGCTTTGTGCAGCCTCTTATCAGTGCTTATACATGTGGATTCGGAAAAGGAGGAAATTAGTGATTGCACAATTGATCAAAAGATGCCAGGCAAGATTTAAGGGCAAATACAAATCTGTTAGAGCTCTGTGCACACAAACCAGTGGAAACAGAGAACAGTTTGTGTAGTGCTTCTCTCCCCACAGCCCACAGCTCCCAAAGGCAAACTTCACCAGGGAAAAGCTGTTTGACAAAGGACACAGGGGTTGACCCTGTTTCAGCACTGATTTCTGCAAAACTATCTGCAGCAGACAGAGGGAAAACATGCAAACAGAAGCCCAGGAGGAGAATGCAAAGTCAACATGTGGGTTAATTGACTAGGGTAAGTCGAGTGAGTGGTTTATGAAGTCCCAGTCTACTGAAGTCTGCACTTGACTGCTCAACAAACACAACAGTGCAGTGTTTTTGCATGCTCACTTGCCAGTAAGTGTGAAAACCAGGATGACATGTCTCAGGAGAGAGGCTGAATATATATTCTTTTCTTTATATCTAGTTGATGCCTCTCCTGCAAATTACGAGAAATGCAGCTCTTCCCCTTAAAAGCAAAAATGGAAATGGGCTTCTTGTCAGCAGAGAGACACTAGAACTCTCATTAATCTCACTTTCTTGCCACTAAAAAGCAGAGTTCAAACATCCTGCAACCTCCATGGATAGCTAATAACTTGGCTCTTAGAGAGCTAAGAATAATAATAAAAAAAAAAAAAAAAAAGAATTCTTACCGGAAAAATCAATGTGGCCCTTCCTCTTAATTGTAGCTTCTGTGCAGTGCATAAATTGAATGCAAAGATTTGCACCCTATTTTGACAGCACTCCATAAAAAAGCTCACTATAGGCATGTGCAGTATTTACTGCTGGGGTAGAAGAGATTCTATTTTTTGTGTATTTCTTGACCCTAAAGAAGAGCATCTCTGCTGCTATTTCATGTGCCTGACCAGCTGTTGAACATTAGTCATTCACACTGAGCATCTGTGAAACTGATCCAGGCACATGAAAATCCTTCATTGTCACTGTTAAAAATGTTTTTGATTACCTTTGCATGTACTTTCTCAAACATGAAGTCATGTTGGTTAGCCTGAAAAAAACCTGCTCTAAGTATGTAGGAAGAAAAACTGTACCAGTTATTATTTATAATTCATATGGTACATTTAGCTTTACCAGTGTAACGCAGTATTCTAAACACAATAATAACTGTCTAAAAAACCAGCCAGATCAAAGGCTGATGATAGTGATGCATGAGAATGATAATAAATGTAAATGCTGACAACCACTTCCATAAAAAATAGGTGAACAAATGTTCATACAAAACAACCATCAAAGTCACAGGAAGGTAGCCTCACCAGAGCAAAATCATTACAAGCTTGAAAACCTTGACTTCTTATTAGTTAAGCCTTATAGCCAGTTCAGCAAAGGCAGGGTTTTGATAGCATGATTCAATACTTACTTTTCATGTGTGCCATGACCCCTATGGTAAACATAGATTTGTAGCTTTTGCTTCATTTTCATTAGCCCTTCACATAAGAAGAGGTCTGACAATGTCTTTGAATTAGGGACAGTTGAAAAAACATCTGTACACTCAAAGCATCAAATCCACTGATCTGTGTCTGTGGTAGACTTTCATTCCTGCCAGGTGGGAATAAAATGCATTTGCTGAACAGAACCAATAATGTTTCAAACACATACTCCACCTGTATGTGCTTACACACATTTACTATGCTCTCTCTAAGCTTTGAATGGTTACAGGCACAGGTAGGCACAGGCAGGTACAGGGAACCAGAAAAAAAAAAAATCAGAAATAAAATTTGTGTCATTTACATAAAGGCATTAACACCTCTGACTCAGGTGTCAGCCTCTCCATGCTACACAGTCCGCCCTTTCCATACGATGTCTCATCCCCCCCCCTGCTGCCTGGTCCATTAGCTAGGCATGCGGTTTCTCACACAACACTGGTCAGAGAGTCTTCCTCGAGGAGCAGTATTTACATCTTTCCTACAGTGAATTTAAGAAGTGCTAATGGGACAGTGTTAAATTCTTTCAATGTCCTACCTATCATTTATGCATCTTGAGAGGACAGATTATAGAGGAACACCCTGGAAATCCCATCCCATCCCATCCAGGTGCCTACCTCTCAGTGGGAACCATGGCGCTGGACTGGGACAGCTGGTTCAGGTCTCCAGAAGGTACCCTGGGACACTGGCGCCTTTTAGAGGGTCACAGAATAATTCCACATCTGGACCATATTCCATAAATACTAGGAAAACAAAATTGGCTTGCTTATTTTTTAGGCTACTATGGTATCTTGTGCATCCTCTCTGCCAGTGTACACTGAACAGACCTACCTGACTACTCTATTGCTAGGATTATGTAAGAAGGATTATGCAAATCCTTAGCATGTACCATGACCTCACCTTCCCTCTAAAATTAGGTTTTAAAGCTTCCTCCTTCTAGCCAGACTTGCCTAAAAATCTGACTCATGCTGGTGCAAGTTTGATTTTGAAAACCTGTGTTATTATCGGACATCTCTTTCACGCAGACAACTGTAACCTGTACTGTAAATGTCAATGGGAAGCTTAGTTCAGTGAATAGTTTTCTTGTTTCATGTACTTTTCATCTACACAAAGTTCATATTTTCCTTTATATTTTTAAGAAATAGGCATTTCTTTGTTTCTTTCCTTTCACATGAAGTTATACTTGTATAAATGTTTTTTTTTTGTAATAGCAGTTATTTTCCCATAAAATTCAGTGATTTCCACTTTAAAAATGAGAAAAACAAACAAAAAATTTGAAAACAAGCTTCAAAATATTCATAAATAAATGGGGGTTTTTATTATGTAAAAGCACTACAGTGTCTCCAAGGTACTACAAATAAAATAATTTATAGTAAATGGGATTATTATTGCTGGGAAAAGGACCACTTAATACCAGTTTTCTGTGGGAAAAAACAAATCAGAGTAATCCAATAGTGGTGCTCAGAAACATACAGCAAATACTTAAGAGCTTTAAATGAAAAATACATGCTGAGGTACCAATTTGGAACAGGGTATGTCTATTCAGCCTCATCTGAAGGAGGTAGTCTTAGTGTCCTGAAAATGACAATAAGGCCATTCCAGTTTTATACCAACTTGTCCAAAGGAGTTCTACCAGCATAAATGTGAAGCAATGCAGTGTTGAGCCAAGCCTGGATATGCAGACCTGAAATAGAAAGTGTTCAGCATTGGGAGGATGTGAATTGCTGTCTGGAAATCCCATAAACAGATCTGTGTGGCTGCCCTGAGCAAAGCGGTCATATCAGGGTAAATTTGGCTCAATATATTGCTACAGCAATCAGCTAGTGATGGCTCAGCTTCCAAAGATAGCACTACTACAGAATTAGTAAGTCAGCTATACAGCCACATAGCTGAACTGTTAAAAATCCAAAGCAAGCCTTGAAAATGACAAATAGGTGCATAATGTCCACTAGATATAGATATCAAGAAATGCATCAGAGGTTGATCTGACCCTTTTCACATTCACAGTATGGCAGCCTCTTCTCCCACAGATGCCCTTGAAGCCCTGCCAAGTGTCTCAGCTGCAGTTCCCAAGTCAAAGGGGATGATGGCATTTGGAGTTTACAAGATCAATAGTGCAGTAGGTTCTGTCCACTGGACATTGAGAGCCAGTCCCTATCTGTTACAAAGTACATTCAAGCTGAATTCAGTCTCATCTCATACTTGTGGTCTCATGAGGGACTCTTCATCAGGGACTGTAGCGATAGGACAAGGGGTAATAGTTTCAAACTAAAACAGGGGAAGTTCAGGTTAGATAGAAGGAAGAAGTTCTTTACCATGAGGGTGACGAGGCACTGGAACAGGTTGCCAAAAGAAGCGGTAAATGCTCCATCCCTGGCTGTTCACGTCCAGGTTGGACAGAGTATTGGGTGACATGGTCTAGGGTGACGTGTCCCTGCCCTTAGCAGGGGGGTTGGAACTAGATGATCTTAAGATCCTTTTCAACCCAAACCAGTCGGTGATTCTATGATTTTATGTGCTTTGTTCTGTCTCTCTTTGATGTTTCATGAGGCATTATGGGAGTTCAGGCTATTTATTAAAAAAAACTACAGATCTGTCAAGCTTCACACATCTGAGGTTAATGCTTCTTTGCCATTGCCCCTCTGTCTCACCTACTAACAATCTATGAGGAAACTGGTTTTGACTTTCCACATGCTTGTTAATGCAGAACAAACTGATCAAAGCACAAGCGCATAGAGATGGAGAAGTCTGAACGGGAAATCTTCTGTCAGTTAGCTTATATGGTTAATGTTAGGATGCTTATAAAGTTAGGATTAGCATGTAAAGTAACCTGTACCATAACAGTTTGCAGCTTGTAGAAACTTTTGCTCCTCACATGCAATACAGATGTGAACTATTTAATCCTCATGAGAACACCATCTTAAAGACAAAAAAGCTAGGAGAGAAGAGGATTAAAGCTAAAATGCAACACAAACGTTTGCTTACAAAATAAATGGCCTTACTGACCTTAAGGATGTGCTTGAAAGCTTCTTAGGTGTCTAACAGCTCAGTATCATTTGTACTTATAGCCAGGTTTCTAAAGACATTTAAACAGCCCATTTGATTGTAATTTGAAGTAGGTAGGAATTAGATGAAAGAGCTGAAAAGCCTGCCACTAAGAAATTCATCTAAGTCCACACTGTGAAGACTGTGAATGTGTACCAATAGCATTTAATTGCTTGGACCAGCCTCACCTGGAACCTCTACCCTTTGCCCAAGGCCCAGGAGCAACACGTAAGCTCAGACCATGGCCTTTCATAACCCTGCATGAGCTATGTTGTTAGTGGACCTACCCTCAGCCCTACCTTCTAGATTGACTCTTGGGCCCATGGTGCAGCCTGGTTTACAGTTCTGTCTCTGCTTCCATCTCCTGCTGCGCCAGACTAGACTTCCTGGACCTCATTCACCACCTCACTGTGTATGGAGCCATTGAAGGGACCAGTTATCAGCAGCCTTATTCTGCCCAGCCTGTTCAGCTGTGATGGACCTGTGCTGTGGTGAGAGCACAGTCTGTGCAGTGGTTGCTCTTGCTTTGTCTTGCTTTGTAGAGTGGCCTCTTCTTTCTGTTCCTGTGCATACAAGATGGAAGCAGATTTTCCTCTACTAGAACAAGTGCATATAAGATCAAACCCAAAACTAGTGGTCTTTTTTAAAAATGCTTCCACATTCCTGTTCAATGCATTGGGCCAAACCACAGTCTCAGCATCTGCATTGTAGAAACTGAAATTCTTCTACACATAATGATACTAACATAAAGTCAAAATTTGTCCAGAACATCATATAATCTTATATAAGTGAAGAGGGAATATATCACTGATAAAATAAAGTCACAGCTCTATTTTGAAGACCTGTGACATGGCTTCCCCACATTTTGTTTTTCAGGCAAAAAGATCTGATAAAATTTTTGGAACCATGTAGGCCAGTATAATGAGAAAATACTCTGTTAATAGTTAAGAAGAAAATCAAGATAGCAGGTAGAAAAGAGGGAAACAAAAGGCACTCAAAGGAAAACAAGATGGAAAACATGATCAGAAAAAACAAAGACAGTAAGTAAATTAATAGAATAAATGAACAAAGTCAGGATCCAATTTGGCAGGTGGAGACAACAGTGGAAATCAGTGCAGTGTATCAACACTTTCTGCCCTATCCATCAGAACCTGCAGCGTAATTCTGCTGAAATTCAACTGAAAAAGAAAACCACATGATTAGAACACATGGACATAGGGACTGCAAAACATGCAAACTGCGCTGCAATTCTTGATGACATAAAAGGTAGAAAACTTACAGAGAAAAACTCATAGAGGAAAACGAGTTAAAAACCATTAGAAGTACCTTTTCTGCTGAGGGCATGTGGGAATTCAGATGTAGTACTTTCATGTAGTTTAATTGGTGCCATGGTGTAAAATCCCTATGCATCAAGTTCTTAATGTACTGTACGAAGAGTGGATTTAGGCTTCTGAAGGTACATTGAGGAAGAGTGAAAACAGCGAATTCACCATATTATGGATTATGAACATCTAAAATCTTTTTTCTTGGAGTTATATTATTACTGTCACTCAATTTTGACTTGCATGTTAGTAAATGCCATTTGCAGCAAAGAAAAATATATGTTGTTAACCATTCTGAACCAGGTCATGAGAAGGAAATACCTCTACTTTTGTCCCTTTCATTTTTTACTCAAGGGATTGTTTTTGCCTCTTCTCATCATGTTCACAAATTTGTTAATGTCCTCTCTATGAACATTCACCATGTGTAATAGGAGCTCATCTGAATGCTTCAAATTAGGCCCAGTTTGTCTAGCTAAATTCAGTATGTTAATTTCTCCGTTGTGACAACCTAGGGAGCTAGTGATTACTTGTACCAGAAAGTGCCAATGGAAAAAAGGAACCCTCCCAAGTTAGCATTCCATTTTGTTCTCCACAACAAATTGATGACGTGTTGGAAAGCACTGACAGCATTGTGGATTCAGAGATAGAGGCATCTGAAATGATTTATAGGGTGAATATATTTAGCATTTTTTATAAGGCAACCTTGAACTGAAGCTCCAGTTCTTGTTTTTCTCAGTTTCCATG